CTACAAACACACACGTGGACACGTGGCACACACACACACTAATGTGCCATGTGTCTGGGCACAGACACCCCCACTACAAACACATGTACCGCATGCTTACACATGGATGCACCATGTGTGCGTGTACGTGGACACCCCTACGACAGACACGCACCCGTGCACATGCACCGCATGCTTACACACTAATGTACCATGTGTGTGGACACAGACACACCCACAGCACAGATATACATGTGGGCACATGCGCCACACGCTTACACACGGATGCAGTGTGTGCATGTACCCGGACACCCCGATGACACAGACGCACACATGTGGACACGCACCACGTGCTTACACAAGGATGCACCACACGGGTGTGCACACAGACACCCCCTCAACAGACACGCGCCACACGCTTACACACTGACCACCACGTGTGCGTGGGCACACAGCACACATACACAGCAGGCCCCGCTCGCCCTTCTGGCCGGGAAGGGCCCCCCAGATCTGCAGCAGTGGCGAGTTAGCAGAGCCTGCTGGTTCCTGGGTACGTAGGGGGGGTGCATAAAGGAGCAGACCCTTTCTCGAGGGACACCTTACCCCAGTGGTGACGTCTGGGGCGGGAAGGTTGGCAGGCCCCCCAGAGAAGCGGTTGTAGCGGGCGTTCTGGCCCAAGCTCATGTTCTAGGTGGCATCTAGGGTCTGCGGGTGGCAACCTCTGTAGGGGAGCAGACAAGGGGGTCAGGGCGGGGCTCCCGTGGAAGGCACACTCGGGCCTCTCCCCACCACCAACGCCAATGCACGCGTGTCCACGGCAGGCAAAGTCTCCTACATCCCTTCCGCCCAGGTGTTCACAGGCGAGGAAGGGAGGAGCCCCACGCGGGCGGATGGTGCCAGCTTCCATCTTTTGAGCCTTCGTCATCTGAGGAGCCTGCCCAGCTCCACCCCAAAGGTGAGGGAGCTGCCTCTGCACCCCAGATCCTCCAGCCTGAGTCACAGCCAGTCACCTTCAGGCCCATCCCTCCCGCGAGTGAGATGTCCCCCGGGCCTCCCTTGAGTCAGATGTCCCCAGGGCCGGGGCCAGGCTTTGGTGGGTGATCGCGGTGCTGGGCCAAGCACGGGAGCGGCACATTGGGAGACCAGCCACAGCAGGACGAGAGTGTCCTGCCCCCCCAGCCCCAGACCCAGGGCGGGGACGGTGGTCACAGAAAACCCTGTAGGTGCAGTAAGTGGCACCTACCTCTCCTGAGCCACAGTGCAGAAAAAGCTGCAGCCCCAGAAGAGAGGAGCTAGAGGGAGTGGGGGGGCCCAGCCCAGGGGTCCAGGAGTGCTGGCCAGGCCCAGTGCATCTGCAGGGGAGAAAGGAGGCCCAGCAGGCACAGCACCCTGCAGACGGGGCTCTGGCCCAGCCGGCACGGCACCCTGCAGATGGGGCTCTGGCCCAGCCACAGGTCTCACAGCAACTCCTGCCCCAGAGGACTGTGGTCCCTCCCAAGCGCTCCTACTACCAAAAGCCCGCAAGGCTGCATCTCGTCGGGGTGCACCGTCCCCTGCAGTGATGGAGTTGGCTGGGTTAGGGTCCCGAGCTCCCTGAGGGGAGGAGGGTCACACGCCCAGGGCCACTGCCACCCGACGACCCTCGTTCTTCACCTCGGGAGACACCTTGCAGCACCTCCACGACACTGCACGTGGGCTAACCTAATCTCCCTGGGGTCGGAGACCCCCTTGGCTCGCCCAGCACTGACACCAAGCGTCAGACACTCCCCAGAGGTGGCCAGCTTCTTCTTACACCCTGGGGCAGGTGGCAGGCATGAGAGCCCACACCACGCGCCTGGCCACTGGGTTGGGGGCAAGAAACCAGGAGCAGCCCACCCCAGGATGGTGAGGCTGGCTGCTAAGGATGCAGGACAGCAAACAAGCCCCCCAGCCCGCACCAAGGGGCCAGGCAAGGAGAGAGCCAGCCCCGAAGGCAACACACAGCCTGGCGGTTCTGGCACCTTCGCCATCAGGCTGTCCTGACCCACCCCTCTGGCGATGCCCACCCCACACACGCCTTCAGGGTGGCCCTGTCACCCTCTGCCACCACACAGCATCTCTTCACCGACGGGCTGTCTCAAGCACTCGTGGGTCCCTGGCACCTGCTCCCTGTGCCGTCTGCCACTCCCTCGCCCACCACCCACCATGGGTCTGCTCAGCCTTGAGACTCAGGCCTCACCCAGCATCTCCCAGGAACCCTTCCCCAGTCACAGGGTGGCTCTCGGCCCTGCAGCTGGCGCTGCCTCGAGGCACCCAGCCCCCCATGATCTGAGCGCCCCGCAGGTCTGGCTAGACGGGGTCCCGAGAGTTTGAACCCAAAGCCTCCCTCCTCGTGCCCCCCGCCGCACCCCTGCTGCACAGCGCAGCCTACAACACCCCCGCCCAGTGACCACCTTGGCCCAGAGCGGGGACAAGTTCAGACACGCACAGGGCACTGCAGCTGGAAGGCTTGGCTCGTGTGACCCTAGACGGGCTCTCAAGAGTGGGCAAAGGCCAGCACTGGGGGCTGCAGCGGGGCTCGGAGGAGGGCTCTCAGGCTCTGAACTGGCCCTGGGCAGTGGGTGCAGCAGTCCCCACTCCACAGGAGCCCCGGGGTCCTGGGCCAGTGGGGTGAGGCCATCCTGATGGGGTGAGGCACCGGAACCTGGGCTTAGGAGGATGTGCCCCGTCAGCAGTTAGCCCAGGAGGGCCCGCCCTTTTCAGGAAGCCCGCAGTTGGTTCCTGTCTGGCCTGTGGGGTGCCCGCTGGGAGGAGAGGTGGGGGACACAAAGAGGCTGCCCTGGACACTGACCTGGATTCCACAAACCCATCTGCTCTCTCCACAGCACACTTCCAGGGACGGAGCGCTGCCTGGGGTGGTGGCGGGCCGGGCCAGCAGGCACTTCTCCCCCAGGGAACCTGGCCAGCCCACCGGTCCCCAGAGGTCCAGCCCCCAGCATTCCGTCCACAGGCGCCTGTGGCCAGCTGCAGTCAGGCCTCGCAGGGCGCCCCGAGCCTCACTCTGCTCTGCTCTGAGGTGAGGTAAACAGAAAGGCATGCAGCCACATGCAAAGCACCCGGAAGATTCCACAGCCAATGATGGCCAGCCTGGCCGACACACGACCTGACCCTGTGGGGGTTCCCAGTATTCAGCTGAACCCCTCTCTGCTCCCTGCCTTGTGCTCCATAACTCAGAGACTGCATCCCAAGAATCTAAATCTGGATTGAGCAAGATGACCAGAGCCTCCCGCCCGATCCCACAGGGTTGGGATCCCACGGGGTTGGTCTTGCAATAACGGCCTCCCCATTCCCCTCGGGCCAGGGAATCCTGCAGGTCACACCTGGGAAACACAATGCCCCTGGTCCCCACAGCTCTGGCCTCTTCTGCACCCCCAGTCGGCCTGAGGCTCTTGGGGCAGGAATTCTCGGGCCCTCACCCTTGGGGCCTGGCCCTGTCTACACGCCCTCTCCCGGCGCTGGGGGAAGCAGCTTCCACAGGGTTCACGCTGTCCTCCAAACCAGGCCAAGCTAGAGAGGCAGGCTGAGAAAGGGTTTCCCCGTCAGCCCTCTTTGGCCCTCCCTCCAAAGTCCCAAGGGGCCCTGAAACCCAGGGGGGTGGCCGGGAGCCGGCCTGGGAGCCAGGGTGTCTGTCTTTAAAGAGGAAAGACCCCCTACTCCTGGAGGAAACAGGCTGTTACTCCTGCTACCGCCTGTCGGTCGGTCGGGAGGTGTGACCAAGGGTGCCATGTGGCCTGGGGCCAGCTGCGGCAGGCCAGTGGTGGCGAACGGGGGTTTTCCTCCTGCTGTCCCCTCCTGGGAAAGGCTGAAGCAGGCCAGGGGAGGGCTAGCCATCCTCTTCACATCTGAGTCTGGGGTCGAGGTTCCTGGGTGCCAGAGAGCTCGCTGCAGCCACTTAGGAAGCAGTCCAGCATCCGCACATAATGCCCCTCCGTGGGAACCTCACCCCACCATCTGTGCAGGGAGGGTGAGGCTGGCTCCCCAGGACTCCCCCAACCCCACCTCGGGGATGCTGGACGCGACTCCTTGCCCCTTCCCCCCAGGACACACCCCGAGGGGTCTGGATCAGGGGTGGCGGGGTCCTTCCCTCTTGGGCCCTGGCAATGGCAGCAGTGAGAGTGGGCAGCCCAGGCCGTCCCACTGAAGCAAGGGGCAAAGGAGTCTCCAGACACAGCTTCCTGCTGGGAGCATCACACGGGTGGGGGGTGGTCGTGGGGTCGCCTGAGCAGCACGTGCTGAGGTGGTGGGGTGGGCAGCCTACCCTGGGAATCCCATCAGGCCATCAGCACCGTCTATTCCAGTGGCCACTGCCCCAGGGAGGAGCTGGGCGGTGCAAGGGGCCAACCCTGTGGATGGCCAGCATCACAGTGCTGTCTGGGGGACCCAGGCTGCCCAGCCTTGGGTCAGCCCCTGCCTCGGGTCCCCGTGGCCACAGTCCAAGGCAGCCGCCCAATCCTATAGAAACGGGGCTGGTTTCCGTAGGAAAGCCACGCGCTCTCCTGGCGGTTCGTCCTCTTAGCACGGTTTTTCCATCCTGAACACGCAGGGTGTGACGTCAGGGCCTGGGGGCCCTGGCCTCCTCCTCAACGGCCCCCCTACCCTCCCAGCACTCTGTCCGGGCCTCTGCCCCCACCCCCTTCCCTTTCCTCTACACCACAACCACGACTCTTCAGTCCAGATGCCTACATAGCCTTCTAACCGGCCCCTTCCCCAGGGCATCCCCTGGCATCCCCACCGCCTGCCCTCTCCTGCCCAGGTCTCCCCATGGGTCTGAGCCTCTCCAGCGTCCACGGCTCCCCCAGCTTTAACTCCACCACTCACAACAGGAATGCTCGCCTCTTTCACACCCGCCCCTCGGGGCTCAAGCATCATCTCCCCGTCCTTTCTTTCCCAGGGAACCTGGCTCATCTGGGGAAGTTTGGAGGGCTTCCTGGAAGAAAGGACTGATCAGATCCTGAGTGGGCACCTGTTCTCCAGTCTTGGCGCCTGGCTGCAGGGGCCACTCCAGGGGCAGCCCGCCTGCCTGCACTCTCCCTTGGCTCAGCACCTGCCTGGCACCGGGGGGTGGGAATGGAGGGGGCAGAACCGGGCAGCCTCTCCTCGTCTGTGGAACAGGATCTTCAACTAAAGGAAGCAGGTCTGGGCTTTGCCTGGCATCTAGGGCTCAAGTGCCTGCGGCCCGGCCCAGTGACTGTGCCTTCCAAGCCACCTGGGGTCACCGTCTCAGCGGCTCCCTCAGCTCCTGTCTCCGTGCACTTCCCTTTCACACCTCTCCGTGGAAGCTGGGAACCTGCGCGAGGGCGCCATGGCTGAACTGGGTCTGAAGGTGCAATGGGGACTCAGAGAGCACCCGCCACCCCCACCCCACTCCAGCCACACGGTGGCCTCATCACCTCCTCCCAGCGCCCAAGACACCTGCAGTCCCGGGGCTCCGCCAGGCTCCTGGGGTACCCTCCCCCCAGGAACTCCTGGGACTGGTTCAGCTCACCCTCCCACAAGCGTCCAGACAGCCCCAGCCTCTTCCTGCTGCTCAAGGCCTCCAAGCCCCAGGTCTGCACGTAGACATCAGCACCAGCCCGGGCTCAGTTTCCCTCCCTGCCTGCCCCCCGGCTGTACTGAGGAACAACCCCGTCTCTTCTGCCCAGGGGCCGGCTCACAGGGAAAAATCCACGAGAGCCGGGGGGCTGGCTGGCCCCTCTCCCACCAGCAAGGCCAGGCCAGAGGGGATCTGGGCTCAGAACAGGATACACCCTGCAACGCGTCTCTGGGCTGGGCGCGTGCTGGCACTCCAGTGCAGGCACTCAAGGTGTCCTGACAGATGGCCCAGCAGAGCGACAAGGAGCGCAGCTGCTCGACCCAGGCTGACCTGGGCCCAAAGCCCACCTCCGCTGAGCAGCTGTGTGGCTTTAGGCAAGCTGACTGCCCTCCTGGGCCTCAGATTTCCCACCCAGAAAATGGACGGAACCATGAGAGATGACGTAAGACTTAGGAGTGACGGCTCCACACGGCAGCTGCTCTCTGAGAGCTGAAGGTGGAGGCTCAGAGAGGCCGCGTGGCCAGCCCAGGGACACACAGCCAGTGAGAAGTCACACTGCGCTGAGTCCAGGTCCGACCAGTACCAAAGCTCTGCTCCGTCTGGCTCCTCTGCTACGGCCAGCAAAGCAAAGAGCCCCCCACGCGTGTAAACCAAACTGCACCAGAGAGGCCGAGTCACCACGTCCAGCTGCCAACCACCCCCGACCCCTCCACCTTCCACCATCTCTTCTTGCTTTCTAAACGGCTCATCCTGCCTCCAGCCTGCTCTCCAAGGTCCACACCCAGCACGTGTGCTGGGCCCTGTGCTCGAGAGGGGGGATGTGGGTGGCTAAGAGTAAGTCCAGCCCTAGAGAAGGCAGGAGCCTGGGGGGCCAGCACGGTCAGGAACACAGGAACCCCCTCATTCAATACAACTAAGACACGTTTCCATGAGTTCCTGTCTCCACTCAAATGGATGCTTAAGACACTGATTGTTCCATTCGTTTCCAGAAAAATCTTCACGCACAGCCACGGTAAGAGCCGGAGAGCAACTCCTCAGGTTGGGGCGCTTACTCCCGGCCCTCAGCTCCCTCAGCCAGGTTGCCTGCACTCCTGCCATCAAAGGGCAGGTCTGGCCTGGAGAGAGGGTGGCTACTGGATGTAGGGACCCAGGACACAGGGTCTCTGTGGAGAAGCCCGAAAGCCCAGAGCGGAGAAGCAGGATTTACGGCAGAGCCAGTACCCACGACGCAGACCCTCAGGCAAGGGGTCCAGGAGGAGAGAGACCCGGAGAGAAGGAACAAGAAACACGGAGGCCGCGTGCTCGGCACCTGGCAAACGCCAAGAGGTGCGCAGCTCTCAGGAGAGGGCAGCAGCCAGGCTGGGCAGCACGGAGCTGTAAGCAGGGAAGGCAGCGCAGTAAAGTGGAACCCCACCCCAAGGGCAGGGTGAGATCCAGCAGGACCCCGCCCCTGAGGCCCCACTCGGCCTCAACACTGGACCCCAGACTTAGCCCCAGCTGACCGCCTTGGCCTGACTCAAAACCACCAGGGCCAGGCAGTCAGACCCCAGTGAGGGTTACTGAACACCCCTCACACATACGCACTGCTCCTCTGGAGACCCATTCAACCTCCTCACTGCTCCCGTGACACCCCACCGAGCCCCATAGTCCACCCTCCATGCACAACCAGAAGCTTCTTTACTAGACGAAGATCCAACCTCATCAATCCAATAGCCTCCCCTTGTACACACAATGGCATCCAAGTGGTCTAAACAGTTAATGTGCTCAGTGCTAACCAAAAGGTTGAAGGTTCAAGCCCACCCAGAGGTGCCTTGGAAGAAAGGTCAAGCAGTTTGTTTCTGAAAAATCAGCCATCGAAAACCCAGCGGAGCACAGTTCTACGCTGACACACATGGGGTCGCCGTAAGTCAGATCTGACTCCACAGCAAGTGGTCTGGTAGACACAACGAGATCCCCATCCCGCGCCCTGGGGGCCGGCCCTCGACTTTTCTCATCCCTTTGCAGTACTCTGCGGGAGTACGCCAGGGCCAAGCCCTTTCTCACTCAGGCCGTTTGCACATCTTGGCTCCTCGCCTCGGAACGCTCTTTCTGGGTTACTTTCCAGGACCTGCTCCTGCCCCTGCTGGGTCTTTAGCTAACTGTTCCCTGCCCAGAGGCCTCTCAGGAGCCCCAACTCTCTTTCTCAGCACCCTGTTTCTTCTTCATAGCATCTACAGCAACTCCTCCTTGTTCTAGCTGTTTACCGTCATCCTCCCCACGACAAGAAAAAAGAAAAAACAAAACAAAACAGTGGTTCTCAATCGGTAGAATTGCCTCCCCAGGACACTTGGCGATGTCTGGGACATTTCTGGTTGTCACAGGTGGGGGCGGGGTGCTACTGGCATCTAGTGGGTGGAAGCCAGGGATGCTGCTCAACATTCTACAATGCCCAGGATAGTCCCCTACCACAAAGAACGATCTAGCCCGGATTGTCAACAGTGCCGAGGGGAAAAAACCCTGCACTCCAAGATGAGCTGATGAAAACTGGGATCCTGTTCCCCCGCAGTTTCCTCGGCTCCTACAGTGTCTGGCACCCAGGCGGCGCTTAATAAATGCAAAAAGAAAAGATGAATTAAAGACAAGAGAAGGAAGGGATGGAGCGAGCGACGGGTAACCCGACAGGCAAATGGACAGACGCAGAGACCCCGGCCCGACTCAGCCCCGCCCCCCAAGGCCAGAACCCCTCACCCTGACCCCGAAGCGTCCGCGCCCCCATCGCGCAGCCCCAAGCCGCGATTCCCCGGCCCCGCGCGCCGCGAGGACACTTACCCGCCCGTGGCCGCCGGGGAGCTACAACGCTGCCCAGGCGTTCCATCGTGCCCCTTCGGCCGCCGGCCGGGAAAGGGACCAGACGCGGAGCCGGAAGTGCCCAGGCGCCGCACCCGCCGGGACTTGTTGTTCCTGGTCTCCCGGGGCCGGGGCAGGGGCCTGACGCGCGGCGCTTCAGAAACCACGACTTCCGGCGGCCCAGACCACGCGGGGTCGGATTGGCAGCTTCGGAATCACTCTATGTTGCAGATCGGACTCTGATTGGCTGTAGGCATCCGTCGCTCACAGATAGGCTCAATGGCCTGCGCAAAAGGGAGGAGTTTTGGCGTCGGGCCTGGGAGACGGCCCCTAAAATAAATACGTAGCGCGATTGGTGGAAACAGCGATGGTAGAGCGCAGGGCCTATCAGGTACGAGTAGGGCAGATACTTCCGTTAGGATTGTTCAATCACAGAGAAGGGGCAGTTTCTATAAAGGCTTGAGCCTCGCGGTTCTTCGTTCTTTTCTGAGTGTGAGGGTGTGGTGTGTTGAGCAGATTATAGTCGTCAGCCTGGGGCTGAGGGCGTTCCTCGAACCCTGCAGGCCGGCCTAGCCCCGGGTCCAGCCTCAGCCTGAGCTGCACGTGGGTCCTTGCGTCTCTCCAGGTTTTCCGTCGGAGGAGTCCGAATCTCCAGACCCACACATCCGTCCAGGTAAGCCTGGTCCGAGCCTTTTTCCCCGACGCAGCCCCGAGCCCGTGATGAATTGCTTTAACATCTGACACCTCGTATGAAAACTGCACGTGCAGTCTGATTATTTTGCAAGACTGAGGCTTCAGGGTGCGCGACCTTGATGGGGAGGAGGGCTGGGAGTGTAAACCGCTTGCCCCAAACCGTGGAGGGGGCTACTGTCTACATCTTGGCGCTGTCTGACTTTCAGAGCCATCGGGGAACCGGCTGCAGACCCTGAACCTAAGTCAACATCTTCAGCCCGGCGGGCAGCAGGGCCTGGTGGTAAGGCGGTCGCCTGTGTGTCTGAGATACTTAGCAATAAAGTAGAGGTGGTGACTTGGATGTTGTGTTGGTTGTTCTTACCTGCCTGCATTTTGCCCCCCAGAGGACCGCTCATCCCGGGTGGAGGTTGGGAAGGGTTGGGGTAGAGACATTAAGGGGGTATTTCTTGCGTGTCTTGGGGTTGCCTTCTCCGTGTTTTGGCTGTGAGCCTAAGGAAGATCAGGCTTTGTGCTTTTCATGGGGTGGGTCTGAAGCTCTCACTAGCAGGCAACTGAGTGCCCCTTGAAGCCTGGTGCTGTGTCTTGAGGGGCATTTACACTAACCTAGGTTGTCACATGCTCCCTAAGGGGCTTCGGAGTTTGGAGCAGCAGAATTGAATGGGTGACCTCGGCGGTCCTGCCAGGCGGTCTCTGGTGTGCCATGTTGGGAGGGTGCCCCACCTTCTTGGAGTTTGGAACCTGGGCCTTGCTGAGTTTCCCTAAAGAACCTGGAGTTCTAGAAGTTGAGTTTTTTTCAAACAGACAAGGTGGAGGGGTTCCAGAAAACGCAATTTTATTCACTAGGAGTGAAAACAAAGGTTTGCAATCAAAAGACTGTAGCTTGATGATTTTAGTGCAAGGTGGAGCACTGTCCCAGCTCGGCCCCATTGTCACCGACTGCTCCTGGCCTCGCCAAGGCAGGCCTCGGGGACGGGACCCTGCATGGCATGCGGGGCGTACACCTGTCGCGAGTCTCCCTGATGATTCTGAATTCCCATGTTATATTCCCTGTATTACAAAGCCTTGGAGTCTCCAAGGTGACGGAAAGACCCTGGATACGGTGCTTAACCAGACGTAGCAGATGGGGCGGGAGCGGCGGGCGGCCCGGGGACACCATGCACAAAGGAGCTGGCGGTGGAGCCCCCTCCCAGCGAGGCAGGGTCTGCCTCTCCCGCCAGGCAGTGCACATGGCTGCAGTCATGGCTTTTCTAGGGCATTAGGCGCTGTGCACCTTGCCTAGCGTCCAGCAGGGGGCAACAGAGTGCTGGGCAGTTGGGCCTGGACATGTGGCCACCCCCTACCATGCTGGCCCGGGGGGTGAGGGCTGCGTACCTGCTGGCTCCCTGAAGCCGGTTTACTGGGACTGGGGCATGGAAGGGGCCAGGCTGAGCCTGAGTCCTGGGGATGACCACTGGCAGTCTGTGCCCAGCCAAGTCGGTCCTGCTTCAGGGCCGGCAGCAGGAGCCCCCGCGGCCCTCCTTCTTCACGTAGTCGTGCAGCTGGAAGCGGGGCTCACTGGGGACCATCGTGGAGCGCTGCTTCAGCTCCCTGCGGGACCGGGGACAATGAGCAGGGTGGCCTGGAGACGCCAACCAGGGTGTCCAGGTTGCTGGCTCGGGGTGGGGACTTACTTTGCTATGGCCGTGAAGGCCAGGTCCACGTTTAGGCCTGTCTTTGCGCTGGTCTCCATGAAGGGCAGTCCATACTCCTGCAAACAGCTGCTGCCAGCTGGGCCTTGGCCTGGAGCGACAGCTAAGACCCCGTCCCCGCAGCCACAGGACCACCTTCCTGCCACCCCCACCCCCTACTCACCTTGGCTAGCTTCTCCCCGTCCTCCCTCTTCACCTCACGCTCCTGGGTAGAGTCCACCTGGCTCGGGCAGATGGGGCTTGTGACAGCTGGCCCGCAGCTGCCCACCCACCACCCTCGCCCACCCGGCCAGGAAGGACAGGCTGGGCCCACCTTATTCCCCAGCAGCATGAGCACCACGTCGCGGTGGGCGTGCTCCTGGATCTCGCTCAGCCAGGCCTGCAGGGACCAGAGACCTTGGAGCCCCAGGCTGGGGCGCAGTGGAGGCGGGGAGCTGGGATCTGTAAGCCCCAGGGCCACACCCTCTAGGCGCCTGCAGGGCTCTTGCTGACAAGGCACAGCTGCCACGCTGAGGGACCTAGTTTATAGGTGCCTGGAATGCCCCCCAGGCCCCCCAGCGCCCTTACTCTCGACCCTAACCCCTGCATTCGGGCCACCAGAAGGGGGTATCGCCACCCCCCTTCAGCAGGTCTTCAACCCTGTGGGACCCAATGCCATGTAAGCCCTTCCTGGGGGTGGGGTGGGGTCGGGAGGTCCCCCCAGTGTCCCTTAGCAGCCCCGCTGCCAGGAAGGAGGCATTGACCTGGATGTTGTCAAAGGAAGCCTTGTTGGAGACATCGTAGAGCAGTAGCAGTGCTGCGGGCAGACGGGCACCCGTCACCCACGCCCTCGTCACGCACACCTCCCCACTCACAGAGTGGTGGTGACATCATGCTAGCGCACCAGCCACTTCCTACCCACTTGGCACCCAGGCACAGCCTCAGCAGGAGCCAAGGGAGCTCGGGCACCCACAGACAACAGCCCGCCTCCCTGGGTGCCCGAGGCCCTGCACTCACCATGAGCGTCGCGGTAGTAGGCATGGGTGACACTGCGGAACCGCTCCTGGCCAGCCGTGTCCCAGATCTGTGGGGCAGGCGTGGCCCAGCGGTCAGGCGGTCCAGCCGCTCCCGGGCTCCTCTGCCCCCAACTCCCCCCCCCAGTCACCTCTCACCTGGAGCTTTACCTTCATGCCATCCACATCCAGAACTTTGTTCTGAAAGAGAACCAGCCAGCTCCCGCCAGGGCCCAGCCGGCTGCCCCGTCCCAGGCAATGGCTGGGCCGGCACCATCCTCTGGCTCAGGGCTCCCAAGAGGGGGTGGGGGTGGCGCCAAGCCAGGACAGCCCAGCCCAGGTGCCCAGATAGGGAGACTGAGTTAACGGGTCCCCACCTCTCAGGACCTGCCAGTCCCCTAACTCAGGAGGGCATCAAGCGCATGACCCTGGCTAGACCCTGAGTCTTCCCTCCACCTGTGGCCCCCAGAGGTTCACTCTGCCCCCACGCCTGCCTCCTGGTTCCCCTCCCTCTGCCTGCAGGTTCCACGGCCTCTTTCACCTGAGGGATCCTCAGGTCCCCCAGCTCTCCTCACCATGCCCCCCACAGCCCCCTAGGCGAGCTGCTCCAGGTACCCCCGCCGTGAGGATGCCAGACCCCTCGCCCACCCGGGCGGCCCCACACTCCAAGGCTCAGCCCATCCCGAGACCTGGCACATAGCCCCCTGTTCGTCACCCACTCCTGTTGCTCTTCCAGCCCCTGGCCCCCCCCCACCCCCGTATCTCTCAAGCCCCCAGCCTCTCCACTCCTGGGCCCACTTGCCCATCCAGCCTCACCCCCCATGCCTCTCCCCTGCTCAGCTGAATGCAGCCCCCTTTCCGTGGCCGGCAGCAGGGTCCTGCCACCCCAGCCTGCCCTCACCTGGCCCCCTTCCCACGCTCTCACAGGCTGCGCTTCTGCTCCGAGCACGTGTAATAGCTGACTTCAGATCACCCACGCTGTGACCCCAGGCACGTGATTGCCAGAGTACCCATTGTGGGGGCTGCCCAGGGACATATGAGCATGTGGCCCAGTGAGGGCCTCTCCTGCTAAAACTTACCAGGGGTTGGCGGGGGGGGGGGGGGGTGTGGAGAGGGAAGGAATTGCTTAACAGGTACTGAGTTTTTGTTAGGGGGCAGAGAAACGGGGAACGGGTCATGGCTGCACAGCACGGTGAACATCATTAATGTCACCGAGTTGTACATGTAAAAATGGTTGAAATGGCAAATGTTCTGTTACATGTATTTCACCACAATTAAATGAAGAAAAAGCCTCTCCCCTCCGGACCCTGGGCTGCCGAGGGCAGGGCCTGCGTCTGTCCGGCCCACGGCAGTAACCCCGGAGCCCTGAACCATGCCTGCTCCACAGTTGGTGCTCATTGCACATTTGCTGGCTGATGCTGGTCCCCAGCCTGGCCCTCCCAGGACAGGAGTGGACACGGGGTCCTGTCTGCTGGGGTGGGTGGGACAGGAAGGGCTCTCACACAAGCCCCAGCCAAGGGGCCGGCACGTGCCGCCTTCCCCTCCCCCAGCCCCTTCTGTCAGGGTGCTCCTGGGTCTCCAGGGAACCGGGCGTAGCCATCTGCCAGGCTGGGGAGGACACCCCGCCTTCCTTGGCACCTGGGGCAGCCGTGTGAACCCAATGGCCTCGCCTCCCTCGCTGCCTGACCAGAGCTAAGAGGGGGGCGGGCAGGGGGCCAGAACAGGCAAACGCCCCCCACCCCAGCCTAAACTGCCCCCCTCTGGCACCTCAATGCTGACAGCCTCCTGGAAGACTTGAGGGGACCTGACTCCCAGGCCGGAGTTAGCCCCTTTCCCGTCCCCAGACTGGCCTCCTGCCCAGCCTCCCGCTAACTGGGTCTAATTAAAGTGTGAGAAAAATGCAAATCCCAGCTTTGCCGAGAACACACCAGCACCTTGGCACGCAGGATTCAGACTGGTGGGCAGAGCTGGGGGCTCTGCTTCCGGAGCCCCTGTAGGTTTGAGGCCTTGGCCCTGTCCTTCCCTGCTGACCCCCCACAGGCTGCTGGGGGCAGTGGAGGTGGCTCAGGGAGCCAAGAGTCCAGGGGCACCCCCAAAAGAGCCTAGGAGACAGCCTGCAGGCTGGCGGGGATGAGGGGGCTCTGAAAGGAGAGGGCAGCCAGGTGGGAACCTGATCTTCCTCCCCAAGGGCAGGGACCTCTCCCCCAAACAAGGTCTGGGGACACAGCCCCCAGTCTCCAGGGAATGCCCCTCCCCGGCTCTGGGGGTGGGGGGGTGCTGGCGAGCACTACAGCCACCTGTCCCGTGGGACCTGGGCGGCAGCCGCGGCACCCCCTGCAGCCCCCAGAATTCCTCTGTGCTGGGCCTTGGCTTCCCTGATGGCCAGCCTGGGGGCACCAGCTCCTACCCACAGAGGCAGAGCAGAGGGCCCTAAGGGTCGTGCCAGACCCCTGGCATGGGCACATCTCATTTCAGTCACTGGGAGGCACAACCTGACCTGGAGCTGGGTACTGCAGGGAAACGGAGAACCAGGGCTCCCGGGGGGTGGGTGGCTGGGTGAGCAGAGAGCAGACACCCAGTCAGTGCCCCCACTCACCCGGAAGTCAATGCCCACTGTGGAGATGAAGGTCCCTGCCAGGAAGGCCCCGTCCTTGAAGCGCACCAGGAGGCAGGTCTTCCCCACGCCCGAGTCACCCACTAGCATCACCTAGGGCGGAGAGAGGGGGCAGGATATCAGGCCTCTGAACAACCCTGAGGGGGCGTCAGGTGTCCCGGGAGCTGGCCTGGCCTGGGGGCTGTAGGCAAGGGGCAGGCATGGAGGAAGAAAGCCCAGGCTGGCAGGTTCCACAGGGCCCGGGGGAGACGTGGCAGCCTATGACCCCCACCAGCATGGACCCCCAGCTTCCGCCTCTGGAAGGCTTGGTTCCCTCTCTCCTTCCCAATCAGTGGGGGGGTGGGGGGGTGAGATAGCTGCCTCCACCAGGGCCCTACCTACCCCACCCCCGGCCCTGGATAACCAGGCTTAATGCTGGGAGGGGCCAGCGCAGCCAGGAGCTTGGGAAGGGAGCATCTGGGGCCTAGTGGGGAGCAGAGGCAAGGGGGGGGTGGCAGCTGGGGACCTCCTAAGACATTTGTGGGGGCGTCCTGCTGGGGGCTTCTTAAAATCCCAGCAAGACTCAAGGAATTTGCTAATTGTCCTAGGGTCCTGGCTAGGTTTGTGGGCAAGGAGGCCCCAAGTCACTGGTGAAGACACCAAGAAGCGGCAGCCAGGGCCTCCTCCTCCTTCCACCCCCAGCCTGCAGCCAGAGGCTCCAAACCCCAAAGATGGTCCTGCTCCCTTCTCCCCACAAGTCACACAGCTCCTGCCCTTGGCCTGAGGGAGGCCCCGGTGCTCCCCGCCCTGCTGGCAAACCTCGTCCTAGTCCCTCCTCAAAAAAGGGAGACCTACAGCCTCTGCGGGGTGAAGGGAGGCAGCATATGGGAAATGGTGCGACTAGGGCCCAGGTGGGGGCGGGGGCATTAAGCGCAAGGGGATGGGGGACCTGCCAGGTTCTGGCCCCCGCGGGACCCCAGGTCCAGCCCTGCCAGCTGTTGGGTACCACGATCCCCGGTCGACAGCTGTGTGTGTGACGTGCGGGGCCAGCCGGGCCAGCTGCAGGGTGCCGCTCGGGCTGCTCCGCTCCGCTCGGCTCCTCGGGTCCGCGCGGCCCTGCGCCCCCTCCCGGGCTCCCTCCCTCCTGGCTCGGGCCAGGCGCCACCTGCTGCTCTCGCCCGGTGAGGGGGGG